TCTCGGAAGAGTAACATGCTGCAGAGATGTCTCCGGACCCTAAAAACGCCATTCAGTTGGAAAAAAAAAAAAACTTAACTCCACTTCTAGCACCCTATGTGAAATTTTAGGAGCACATGGCCACTTTACATTATGCCACTGATATACCAAGAGTAGCACACCACATTTGATGTGGTGTAGAAGTAGAAGACAACCAATCTGTAGCACTGTCCTCTCGTTGTTCATCGATTTGCTCAAGCAGGCACCAGTAATGTCTCTATTGTGAGACTTGTCATTACTGTTTTTGGCATAACGAATACACCACGGGCAGTTTGCCAGGCTCTGCCTTGCAGGTGGGATACTCTCAGTAGCTTGCCAGGTTCTCCAAGGCTCAAACTTTAGCAACATGTTAGTCATCTCTAATACAGGGGCTTAATGACTCCAAGAATGAAATACAACAATTTTCACAAGCTTTCCTCTAAAGAGAGCTTTTTGGATCATTTTTAGTCAATTATTCATAATAAGCAATATAAAATAAATTATTTGGCATCTGCTTGTGGTACAGGCTTGGGTGGTTGTGAGAAAATTTGAAATAATGGTGGTGGGAAGATATAATGGTGGTGAGACTGGTATTGAAATATTAAATGTAATCAATTACTGTGAACAACTCTATGAAAATAAAATTTTTTAAAAAAAGCAAAAAAAAGCCCAGGCCCAGATGGATTTACTAGTGGACCTACTGCCAATCCTTTTCAAGCTTTTCCAGGAAACTGAAGAAACAGAAACACCCCCAAAGAGTTTCTATCAGGCAAATACCACCCTAATACCAAAAACAGAGAAAGATACCACAAAATAAGAGAACTACAGGCTGATATCCTTAATGAACTCATATGCAAAGATCCTCAACAAAACCTAGTAAATAGAATCCAACAACTCATCAAAAATATCACACACATTACCAAGTAGGGTTCATCACAAGGATGCAAGGATGGTTTAAGATTTGCAAGTCAATCGACATAATTTACCATATTAATAAAAGAAAATATAAAAACTGTATGATCATATCAATAAATGCAGAGAAAGTATTTGACAAGATACAGCATCCATTTATGATAAAAAAAAAAAACTCTCACCAAAATGGGAGTTGAAGGAACTTTCCTCAGTATAGTCAAAGCCATCTTACCACAAGCCCACAGCTATTCTCAATGGAAAAATATTTTAAAACCTTTCCCTCTAAGATCAGCCACAAGACAAGGTTTCCCACTCTTGCGACTCCTATTCAATATAGTCCGAGAAGTACTTGCCATAGCAGTTAGTTAACAAAAAGGTACCGTGGGCATCCAGATAGGAAAGGAAGAAGTCAGGCTTTCACTACTTGCAAAGGACATGATACTATACTTTGAAAATCCGAAAGACTACAAAAGACCTCTTAGAAACAGTAGATTTGTATAGCAAAGTGGCAAGTTACAAAATCAATACCCAAAGGTCCACAGTTTTCCTAAATATAATAAATGAAAGAGAAGGAGATATTAAACAAACAATCCCCATTCACAGTTGTACCTCAGAAAATCAAGTACCTCTGAATCAGCTTCACTAAAGAGGTGAAGGACTTAGACAAAGAAAACTACAAGACACTACTTAAAGAAATAAAGGAGGGGCTGGAGCGATAGCACAGCGGGTAGGGCGTTTGCTTTGCACACGGCCAACCAGGGTTTGATTCCAACATCTCATATGGTTCCCCCAAGCACCGCCCAGAGTAATTCCTTAGTGCATGAATCAGGAGTAAGCCCTGTGCACTGCCGGGTGTGACCCCAAAAAGAAAAAAAGAAATATAGGAGTACACATGGCCGACCCGAGTTCGATTCCTCCGCCCCTCTCGGAGAGTCCGGCAAGCTACTGAGAGTATTTTGCCCACACGGCAGAGCCTGGCAAGCTACCCGTGACGTATTCGATATGCCAAACACAGTAACATCAAGCCTCATGATGGAGACGTTACTGGGCCTGCTCGAGCAAATCGATGAACAACGGGAGGACCGTGACCCGAGGAGTACACAGGAAATGAAGACACATTCCCTGCTCATAGATTGGGGGGGATTAACATTGACAAAATGGCTATACTTGTCAAAGCATTATACAGACTCAATGCAGTCCCTATCAGGATACCCATGACATTTTTCAAAGATACAGATAAAACATTTCTGAAATTCATATGGTACAATAAAGTCCCACGAATAGCTAAAGCAATTCTTGGGGGGGGGGGGGATGGGAGGCATAACCTTCCCCAACTTCAAAATTGTACCACAAAGCAGTATTAATTAAAACAGCATGGTATTGGAATAAAGACAGACCCACAGATGTGGAATAGAGTTGAATATCCTGACACTGACCCTCAAATATGTGATCACTTCATCTGTGTTAAAGGAGCAAGAAAAACCTCTTCAACAAGTGGTGCTGAGAAAGCAGCTACATGCAAAAAAATGAACTCAGACCTACTTCTAATGCCAAGAAAAAAGACAGATCAAAATGGATTAAAGATCTCAATATCAGACCTGAATACATAAGGTAGATGGAAGAAAATGTAGGCAGAAGTCTCCATGACATTGAAGCTAAAGGGGTCTTCAAAGATGAAACACCAAGACCAAGGAAGTGGAAGCAAAGATGAAACAAATGGGACTACATGAAACTAAGACTCTTTTGCACCTCAAAAGAAATGGTGACCAAAATACAAAGACCAAAATACAAAGAAAAAGTGACCATTCCCATGGAATGGGAAAAATTATGTTCCTAATACCCATCTGATAAGAAATTAAAAGCAAAGATATATATATATATAAGGCACTGGTAAAACTTTATAAGAAAAAAATCGATCTCCATCAAAAAATGGGGAGAAGAGATGAAAGAATCTTCCTCAAAGAAGAAATTAAAATGGCCAAAAGGCACATTAAAAAAATACTTCACATCACTAACCATCAGGGAAATGCAAATGAAAACAATGAGACATCAGTTTACACCACGGAGATTGGCACACATCTAAAAGAACAAGAGCAACTAGTGCCGATGCCAATGGGGGGGAGGGGGGCGAGGGGGCAGGGAGCCTTGTGGGGGGGAGGAGGAAAAATTCTCCTTCATTGTTGGTGGAAATACTGACTGGTCCTGCATTTTTGGAAAACAATGTGAACAGTCCTCAAAAAACTACAAATTGAGGTGTCAAATTGAACAATAGCACTCCTGGGAATATAGCTTCCAAAGTGAGCAATACCACTTCTGGGAATATACCCTGGGGACCAAAACACACTGCTGAAAAGCCATCTGCATTCCAATGTTCACTGCAGCATTATTACAATAGCCAGAATCTGGAAACAATCCAACTGCTGGAGAACAGACGACTGAATAAAGAAACTATGGTTGATCTACAAGATGGAATACTACACAGTCACCAGGAAAAATGAAGTCATGAAATCTGCTTATAAATGAATGGACATGGAGAGTATCAGGCTGAGTGAAATGAGTCAGAAGGAGAGAGACAGATATAGAATAACTGCACTCATTTGCAGGATATAAATATATATATATATATATATTATGAGACTAATATTCAAAGCCAGGATAAACGGAGCAAGGAGGACTGCTCCACAGTTGGAAGCTTGCCACCCATGGTGTGGGGACGGCAGTTAGGATAGAGAAGGGCCCACTATGACAATGATAGTTGGAGATGATCACTTGGGACAAGAACTGAGTGCTGAAAGTAGGTAAAGGGACAAACATGATAACCTGTGAGTACCTAGATTGCAAACCATAATGCCCAAAAAAGAGACAGAGACAGAGAAAAGAGACAGGCAGGCAGAGAGAAAGAGAGTGAGAGAGAGACAGACAGACAGAGAAAAAAAATGTAGGGCAGGGGTCGTGGGATGGAAACTGGGGACACTGGTGGTGGCAAATGTACACTGGTGAAGAGACAGGTGTTGGAACATTGTGTGACTGAAACCCAATCATGAACAACTTTATAACTGTGTCTCTCACAATATTTAAATTTTAAAAATGTTTTAAAAATGTATATAATAGAGGGAAATAAGTAGTATTGGGGTGGAGTGTTGGTGCTATCACCCCACATCCCCATCCCCAATCCCACAGAACAGTATTTCTCAACCTTTTTTCCAACCTTGGCTTCTGTCCAACTTATTTCCTTCCTGCAGCCCCCGTCCTAACAGTTGCCTCCTCAGTTTCAAGTCATGTACCCACCCCCCTCCATTAACAATTTTTACTTGTGGACCCGTTGGAATGCCCTGAAAGTCCACGGGGCCCCTGACTAAGATTGCTGCATATACCACAGCACAGCATTTTAGAAAGCATTGGCTTGATGAGTGAATCAAAACCTATTTGCTATCCCTGTCCTGGAATAAAGAAATTACCTCTGAAGTGGTATGAGATGGCAATGTTATTATTTTTTTTAATATCAGTGTTTCATTTATACAATAGGGCAACTACCTACAAAGAATCAAAGAACTGTCTAAAGAAGGGGGAAAAGAATATTTACCAAAACAACACAGATCACAGATTTTTCAGTCCAGCACCCTAAATGGTTCACCATATGATCTTTTTTTTATGTTTGTCTTACTTCACCACTTAAAACCCAGCAGTGGTTCCCCTTTGTTCTCAAGACAGAACAAATTCTTAACAAAATCCATAAGGACCTGCATAATCTGGCCTCAAGCTTCCTATAAAGCCTCATCCTAGAAGCAGAATAGTAGAGGCTCTTAAACTGTGACTACCTGGACTTGAATCCAGTCTTAGCGATTCACAACCTGTGACCTGTGGTACTTTGTATTCTGACTTCTGCATCTGTAAAATGGGGATAGTAATATGATCATGAGAATACAGCCTGACATATTTTAAGCACATAAAAGTGTGGTAATACTTCTAATAACTTACAATGGGGTATGTTATTATAGTATAAAACACTACATATTAATATAGTAATACTATTAGTATTGTTATGATTATCATTAACATCGTTTTCATACCTCTTCTGTTCCAAACTCACTGATCTTGCAGTTCTCCAAAAAGAAAAAATATGCATCTTTCCAACTTAGTGTTTTTCTATATACTTTCCCTGTCTGCAAGACCGCTCTCTCTACCTTGGCCTACTCCATTTATTCTACCTAAATAACTCACAAATTCTTCCCTTGGGGAAGCTCTTGGCGAGACTTTAGACTTCGCTTTCAGGGCACTTGTCATAGTTTGTGATTACATACACTGTCTGTCGAAGTATTTAACGTTTATATCTCTTATTAGCATATTATAAGAGACTAAAATGATTTTGCTCACTCCTAGATTTCCAGAGTCTCCCACAGACTAGATCACATGTACTTACCAAAGAAAACAACTAAAAGATACAAGGGAATTTTTTTTAAGAGGCACCAAGTATGGAAAAATAGTAGTACATATTACCTTGCCCTTACAAAAAGGAATATGTATTGCCAAGTTCTTTTTTTCAAAGAGCATAAAAACTAATTTACTCACCAAATGGTGTAGAAGTGTCAGTTTGGCTCTTTTACTTTACAAACCAGGAGCCGGCTAGCTTAAGTCTTTTGACTCGCCATATCATATATATATATATATATATATATTTTAGAATTCTAAATAAAAATGAGATGCTTACTTGTGCATTGTCAGGTTCTTCTTTAATTTTGTCCAGAAGGCCTGGCTGGGGTGCCATTGCCTTTTCACGTTCGCCATCCAACAATTCCTTCATTTTAATTTTTTTTTTTAACGTAAAGGAATTCCCCAGTCTAAAAATTAAAAGATTTCTTCTTGGTAATGGATAGCTGGATTCCTAAAACACAACATAAAGTACTCAGGTTTATTGGTATTCAGCTTTATTCTTTTCTTCTTTTTCTTCTTCTTCATGTTTATATTAAAACCTTCGTGGGGAGCACGAGGCTGTGGTGTCTATTAAGCAAGTGTCTAAGAACCGAGTCTTCTGGGGCCGTGGCCAACCCCGTTCTTTCTTCCTGCCCTCTGCTCCTTTCGTAGCGACTTTCACCTAAGAAAGCAAGACTTCTGCAAAGGCTCCCGCTCCCCGAATATCTTGGATGACAAACACTCGGGTGTTTCCCTCCACTCGTTGCAGGCTGTTGAGGGAATTACACTAGAGACCAACCAAGCCCTCGGAGGAAGAGCCCAAGCTCCTAGAACACAGCACCCAGGCCCTGTTTCTGACTCCGTGAGAACTGGTACCCAGAGGCCCATCGCGGCTTCTACTTCCCAAAGTGGGGGCGCCCCGAGGTCCCCGTCCCCGGGACCTCTAATCCATCTTTAACTGCAGGCCGCCATCAGAGCCCCCTTCGTGGCCCATCGATCGATCAACCCTTAAGATGCCATCGCGAGCGACCCCAAGGGGCGCCCTTCCTTAAGAGTGGACACTTGCACCTTTCAGGGTCTCCGGGAGGGCCATGCCCAGGACTGAGCCCTCTGGGCTCTGCTGCACAATCGCCTTCCCGCTAAACGAGAAACTCTATTAGCTACTCAACAGAGTTCCCCGGCCCTCGCAGCACTTGACGAGGACGCGGCAAACTCGAAGGAAAAACAACAGTAAAGAAAGAAAGAGCGAAAGTTCCGCAAAGTTAGATGTGACCCACAGGCACCAAGGGGAGCCACTGGGTGGGTCCAGCGCCTGCGTGGACGAGAACTCCTGACAACTGCTACGCAACCGAGGGGGCGCTCCCGGCTCCTCCGGGACCGCTCAGGCCCCACCGATCACACACGCGGAAACTCTCCGGGCCAGGCGGGACCCCGCCCGCTAACACCTGTCAGGCGGTGGCGGCCTCGAGAGTCACCTCAGCAGCCCCGGCAGTCGCCGCCCCCGCCGAGCCCGCCTCGTCACGTGACGCCGCCGCCGCCCCGCCCCTCGCTGCCCCTGCGGAAACCCCGCGGCGCTCACCTGCCCGCAGCTTTCCGGCTCCGAGACGCGCACCGGCCGGGGAAGAGAAAACGAGATCCGCGGCCCCCGCGCTAGGTCAAGGATTATTTTTCTCTGACTGGAAATCCTTCCGCCTGACGGGCCCAGCGCAAGACCCAGCCAACCACGCTGTGCTCAATCCTTGGCTCCTCCTTCTTTTCCCGTCATGCTCCGGACCCGAGCCGAGTAGAATATCCCAGCATTCCCCGTTCCTCAGTTATGGTGGACTTCTTAAAGAGACCCAGACCTAATTGTGAGAGGAGGAAAAGGGAAGATGGAGGGGCGTGGTGGCGTGGTATTAGGGGTGTTGGAGGGCAATGCAAATGCTCTGAACCTTTATTTAGTGTCCATTAACAGAAAGGAGACCTGTTAAAAATATACTAATAATAGCAATAAAATAATAATTGCTAAGCTTAAGCTCTTGTTAGCCCTCAAACACACTTCATTTTGCTTTATCCAACCTGTGACCACCCCAAGAGTTATTTTTTTTTGGTCCCAGTATAAATTATATTACTTGACTTGTCTAAAGTCAGTTTTTGGCATTTTTTAATTCAACCTTGTTTCAGAAATACATACATGACTGTGATACCACTTTTTTGGACAGTTGTATACTATTCCATGTAAAGGATTTGCTGCAGGAGTTGGAACAATAGTATAGCGGGGTTTGACGTTATCCTTGCACTCAGGTGATCCAGGTTCAATCACCCTGAGCTCAGAGCTAGAAGTTAGTCCTGGACACAGCTGGTGCAGCCCAAAAACAAACCCAAAAAACTGTTACAAATTAACCATTTACTGATGCACATTTGAGTTGTCTTCAATTTTTTACTTTTATTCTTTGGTTTTTGGGCCACAGTGGGCCTTGCTCAGGGCTTACTGCTGGTTCTGTACTTTAGGGGTCACTCTTGGTGGGGCTCAAAGGACCAATATGGGATGTCCAGGAGAGAAGTCAGGGCAGCCTACTCAAGGCAAGCACCCTACCTTAATTTTTTTCTTTTAGAAACAATAATGCTGTGAACATTCTTGGGTTTTGTGGCACATCAGCACATATGCTAGCTTTATACTTATTATATAACATTAAATTGCTCATATAATACTTAGCAGAATTATTCCCAGAGGTAAAATTACAGTAAAATAGGCCATATATATGTAAAACTGTAAAGGATGATGTCAGTTTTTTACATTTCCCCTAAAAGGATGCTCCTTTTTTTTTTCACCTTATTGGATCACATCTACACTAGCACGCGACAGGGACAAATGGAGACGTTACTGGCGTCCACTCGAGCAAATCGACGACTAACGGGAAGTTAAGTGATTAAGTGGGTCACATCTGGTGATACACAGGGGTTACTCCTGGCTCTGCACTCAGGAATTACTCCTGGCAGTGCTCAGGGGACTACATGGGATACTGGGAATTGAACCCAGGTTGGCAACGTGCAAGAAAAACACCCTACCCGCTGCGCTAACACTCCAGTCCCTAGGATGCTCCTTTTCTGAAATACTGCTTTACCAAGCTGTGTAGTTGATGTGTAAACAGAGCAAGTTCCTATCCCATCTCCTACTTCCAAAAATCTACTTAATATATTGCCTTCAACATATCACTTAATAAAAGCATATTCTCCTCTTGGCCTTAGCCAAATTACCAATAAGTAATTGTTAATTTTAGAAGGTGGTGGAGTATATTTGGTTTTGGTTTGGGCCATACCCAGTGATGCTCAGGGTTTACTCCTGGTTCTGCATTCAGGGATCATTCCTGGCAGGCTCGAGTACCAATATGTGGTGTTGGGTATTAAATCCAGGTCAGCTGCCCTACCTGCTATACTATCTTTCCAGCCCCTTTATACATAACTTTTCTTGTGTCATCTTATATATTTTCTTACTAATGGTTCTTATTAATTTCTTGAAATGTTATTTTTTTATCTTTCTCATTCAGATTACAACTGACCAGAATTTGTATATGGTATGAGGTAAGTCAAATATCTTTCATCCATATAAATTTTAAACAGATTAAATCCCATTTTTCAAGTCTGACCCTTGCCCCACTGCTCTGTCTTGTCATCTTTGTCATATATAAACTATCTATAAATGTGTGGATTTCTTTGAGAACTATGTGATCTGAACCTTTCTGCAGGTCAGGGAGTATATACCCAGATCATAGGTGCTCAGCTCAAGGGATGCACTTGGAGATTGCTCCTAGTCAATCTCAGGGGACAGTGTGATGCCATAGATTGAACCTGGATCTCCTTTATGCAAAGAATTTTCTCCAGCCCTTTGAATGATTGCTTTGGCCCCTAATCTATGCTTTTTGCCTCTTTTTGTAGAAATATCACATTGTCAGGTTGAGAGCAGTAGTACAGCTACAGCGGGTAAGGTGCTTGTCTTGCACACAGCCAACTCAAGTTTAATCCCCAGGACCACCTATGGCCCCTGGAGCCCTCTCAGGAGTGATCCCTGAGCAATGCTGGGCATGGCCCCCCAAAAAATTGTTTAAATAAATATTATGCAGTCTTAATTTCTGAAAGAGCTTTATAACAAATCTTGATGCTTGGTATAATTATCGCTTATGTTCTTCAAAATAGTCCTAATTTTTAAAAATCATTTTAGCTTTCCTTCTTTCTTCACATATTGGTAGAACTATAAAATCATAGGCAATAAATTCCCCCCTTCTCTTTTCCTTGTTGTTGTGTTGACCAGGAGATACACAGATGCCTGGCCATGGAGCTCTTACATGTAGTCATGCTGCTCCCCATAGGAGTTGCACTACTTTGTTCAGGGTGCTTATACATGTGCTCACTAGGAGTTGCAATCCATTTCGTTGTAGTGCTTGAGCACATTCTGGTTGTGGTGCTTACTAGGGGTTGCTGTGGTGCTCACATACATGCTTGCCAGAGGTTCTCTTTGCTGGTCATGGAGTTCGCACATCTTTTTAGTTACTGTGTTAGCAAAGGATCACAACTTTTATTGGATCATCGCATACACCTGGCTGCAGTATAGCTGGAAATCACCTGTAGTACCAGGCAGGAACAGTGGTAGGCATAAAGACACATAGCTGACAGTGCAGCAGGTAATGCACTTACCCTGAACACAGCCTAACCTCTGTCCCATCCCTCAGCACAGAGCCAGGAGTAACCCCCAAAGAAACAAAAACACACAAAAAGACATTGAAATATGACTTCAGTAAAATGGGCATTAAATAACAAATAACAAGGGATGGATTAACTCTGGAGTAGAGAGTTAAGACACTTTAGGGCCAAAGTGATAGTACAGCAGGTAGTACCATTGCCTTGTCCGTGACTGGCTCTGTTTCAATCTCCAGCATCCTATATAGTCCCCTGAGCCCACCAGGAGTGACTACTGAGTGCAGAGCCAGGAGTAACTCCTGAGTACTGCCTGGTGTGGCCAAAACACAAAAACAAAACAGAGTTAAGACACTTGCCTAGCATGTGGTTGACCTAGTTCTAATCCTGGGGCAGTAACTTTAAATACAGTGATTAAGAAAAGGAAGAGGGGCACCCTAGAGTCACTTTTGTGAATGGGGGTGAGAATATAAGAGGGAGGATGGGAAGATGCTCTCGTGCACAGCCAGAACCTCTTGAAGGCAAAATGTGGAACTTGGCAGTAGGTAACTCTATTGAAATTTGTACTAATAGAGCCTAGAGAGTCCTTCTAAAGCAGCGGTAGGGAATCAAGCACTTCAAGAGCCTCAGACCATTTTACCAACAAAGTATCTTCTGACTTCAACTTTTTGTTGTTGTTGTTGCTCTTTTGGGGGCCACACCTTGTGGTGCTCAGGGCTTAATCATGGTTTGGCACTTGGGGTCATTCCTGGCATGGCTTGGGGACCGTATGGAGTACAGGGGATTGAATCCAGGTCAGTCATGTCCACGGCAAATACCTTCCCACTTTATTACCTCTCAGTCCCCAATTCCTACTCTGAAGCTTGTAAAAGGACAAGAAGAAGATCCCAGAGATGTACATCATTAAAGTTAAGGTCAAGGGTGCCGAAAGATCACATAGGATAAAGTCACAGATTTATTAACCCTCCATTCCTTCTACTTATTCCTTTTACAATTATATTCACAATAACTTAAATTATATACAACTTATACAGACACCTGCCTGAATATATAGGATGCCTTCAAAGTCCTTGCATTCTTCACAGGCATATCTATGCTAAGCATCAATCAACACTTACTGGCCCAAGTGTTTACTTACTTCACTCTAACTGAAATAATTTTGTCTATTGCTTTCAGACCCAGGTAGGTTTTGGAACTCCTACCTGTGATTGGTTAGTCAGTTCTGTGAGTCCAGAGAGATGGAAAAGTCGTGACTGGCTTGTGATGGATGGGATTAATATACTGAGACAGAGAAACAAAATCACTAAATTCTTTATCAGCCCCCCAAGTCAGTCCAGGGAAACAGAGCTGAGTTTGTATATTGAGACCCAGAACAATAAATTAGAGTCAGGTGTGGTAGCACTGTTAGGGACAAAAGGGAAATAGGCAGGGAAAGATTAGGAATATGGTCCTTAGAAAGG